CCCCCCCCGAAAAAAATCCTACTGTTATTAATACTAACATATTTTCCGGGTATTGACTTTCCCTTAAAGGTATTACAAAGTTTTGGTATGGGTCATGAATTTGGTTCAAATTAACATATTGGAAGCATATGCGTTCCTACAATATACATTGATCGTTGTCGCGGTTGAAATCGAGTCTAAAGTTATGAAATTACAAATAATAAACTCTTTATGTTGTATAGCTCCCTCTCAAGGTCAAGATATTAATTTAGCTATGAAACAATGTTTCTTGACTAAAATCGACAGATTAGCTATTCCCGTTCGGAAACTATATATCCCAACTACATATTCTGAGATTTTCATGGTCGCATCTACCATTGTACGGCCGTAGGCGCTATTTGAAATTTATCCAAATTTACCGGGAGCACCGGTAAATTTTTATATTCAATTTTTCTCGAAAACAGAAGTGTTTTGGGGGCTATTTTTTTAGTGCTTATAATACATCCACAGGGGCATCCAAATATATCAAAATTGTAAAGATTCACTATCCACCCAATTTTCAAAATTTCCCAAAACTTTGTATTACCTTTAAATGAACAGGGGGATAATTTTCGAGGGGGAATTGTCCTCGGGTAATGTTGTCCTTGGTTGTACGTAAGGGGGATTGTGCTAGGGGGTAATTTTCAATGGTGGGAGGGTAAGGGGGGGGGGGGGGTTAATTGTATAGGGGATAATTGTCCAAGGGGGTAATTGTCCCGATACGGAAACAAAATCTAAAAATCTGTTTACCTCCGGTGGGACTCGAACCCACAATCCCCGATTTAGAAAACCAATGCCTTATCCATTAGGCCACGGAGGCGGATGATGAAAGTGTTTCTCCTAAGATTTGATTCTGTTAAAAATGAATCATCTAGCGCTGGTCATCTCAGCTTGGATTCATGGTCATGTGACATTCCGATATTACATCAAAGAGGTATTACAGCTTGAGTTCCAATAAATGAAATTAATGCAAACATCAGAATTTCAAGGATGCACAATTACTGAAATGCTTTGTTTGAAAAATGAGGATTTCCACAGCGTTTGCCGAAACAAAGCACGAAGAAATTTAAGATAAAAATAATAACTAACTAATTTACACAACAAAACATCTGTTCACCTCCGGTGGGACTCGAACCCACAATCCCCGGTTTAGGAAACCGATGCCTTATCCATTAGGCCACGGAGGCCTACGCAGTTCAAAGACGTCTCTCATAAAATTGTAATCTGTTAACAAATGAATAACTTAAATGCTTTAATTTTGTATATCTAAGGTACCAAGCCGCCCATATAAAGGGGCAATAAGGAGTTAGTTAGAATTTATTATATTATAAACACAAGCACCTTTTTGTCGAATTCTTCCAGTCACTCATTTCTTCTCTTCCAATAACCCCCCCCCCCCCGAAAAAAAAATCCTGCTGTTATTTTATACCAACATATTTCCTGGGTAGACTTTCCCTATAGTGAACAGGGGGATAGTTTTCGAGGGGTAAATGTCCTCAGGTATTGTCGTCCTCGGTTGTACCTGGGGGGGGGGGGGGTTGCTAGGGGGTCATTTTCAATGGTGGGGGATAATTGTCCTAGGGGATAATTGTCCCGATACGGAAACAAAATCTAAAAATCTGTTTACCTCCGGTGGGACTCGAACCCACAATCCCCGGTTTAGAAAACCGATGCCTTATCCATTAGGCCACGGAGGCCCACGGAGTTCAATAATGTCCCTCATAAAATTGTAATCTGTTATGAAAAGAATCGCTTAAATGCTTTAATTTTTTTTCATATCTAAGGTTCCAAGCCGCCCATAGATAGCAGCGATTGGGAGTAAGTTAGAAGTTATTATATTATCCACACAGGCACCTTTTTGTCGAATTCTTTCAGTCACTCCTCTCTTCTCTCCAATCCCCCCCCCCCCCCGAAAAAAATCCTACTGTTATTAATACTAACATATTTTCCGGGTATTGACTTTCCCTTAAATACACAGGGGATAATTTTCGAGGGGGAATTGTCCTCGGGTAATGTTGTCCTTGGTTGTACGTAAGAGGGGGGGGGGATTGTGCTAGGGGGTAATTTTCAATGGTGGGAGGGTAAGGGGGGGGTAATTGTATAGGGGATAATTGTCCAAGGGGTAATTGTCCCGATACGGAAACAAAATCTAAAAATCTGTTTACCTCCGGTGGGACTCGAACCCACAATCCCCGGTTTAGAAAACCGATGCCTTATCCATTAGGCCATGGAGGCGGATGATGAAAGTGTTTCTCCTAAGATTTGATTCTGTCAAAAATGAACCATCTAGCGCTGATCATATCAGCTTTGATTCATGGTCATGTGACATTCAGATATTACATCAAAGAGGTATTACAGCTGGAGTTCCAATAACTAAAATGTATGCAAACATCTGGCAGAATTTCAAGGATGCACAATTACTGAAATGCTTTGTTTGAAAAATGAGGATTTCCACAGCGTTTGCCGAAACAAAGCACGAAGAAATTTAAGATAAAAATAATAACTAACTAATTTACACAACAAAACATCTATTCACCTCCGGTGGGACTCGAACCCACAATCCCCGGTTTAGGAAACCGATGCCTTATCCATTAGGCCACGGAGGCCTACGCAGTTCAAAGACGTCTCTCATAAACAAATGAATAACTTAAATGCTTTAATTTTGTATATCTAAGGTACCAAGCCGCCCATATATAGGGGCGATTGGGAGTAAGTTAGAAGTTATTTTTTTATAAACACAAGCACCTTGTTGTCGAATTCTTCCAGTCACTCATTTCTTCTCTTCCAATAACCCCCCCCCCCCCCCGAAAAAAAATCCTGCTGTTATTTTATACCAACATATTTTCCGGGTAGACTTTCCCTATAATGAACAGGGGGATAATTTTCGAGGGGTAAATGTCCTCGGGTATTGTCGTCATCGGTTGTACCTGGGGGGGGGGGGGGTTGCTAGGGGGTCATTTTCAATGGTGGGGATAATTGTCCTAGGGATAGTTGTCCCGATACGGAAACAAAATCTAAAAATCTGTTTACCTCCAGTGGGACTCGAACCCACAATCCCCGGTTTAGAAAACCGATGCCTTATCCATTAGGCCACGGAGGCCCACGGAGTTCAAGAATGTCCCTCATAAAATTGTAATCTGTTATGAAAAGAATCGCTTAAATGCTTTAATTTTTTTTCTTCATATCTAAGGTTCCAAGCCGCCCATAGATAGCAGCGATTGGGAGTAAGTTAGAAGTTATTATATTATCCACACAGGCACCTTTTTGTCGAATTCTTTCAGTCACTCCTCTCTTCTCTCCAATCCCCCCCCCCGAAAAAAATCCTACTGTTATTAATACTAACATATTTTCCGGGTATTGACTTTCCCTTAAATGAACAGGGGGATAATTTTCGAGGGGGAATTGTCCTCGGGTAATGTTGTCCTTGGTTGTACGTAAGGGGGGGGGGGGATTGTGCTAGGGGGTAATTTTCAATGGTGGGAGGGTAAGGGGGGGGGGTAATTGTATAGGGGATAATTGTCCAAGGGGGTAATTGTCCCGATACGGAAACAAAATCTAAAAATCTGTTTACCTCCGGTGGGACTCGAACCCACAATCCCCGGTTTAGAAAACCGATGCCTTATCCATTAGGCCACGGAGGCGGATGATGAAAGTGTTTCTCCTAAGATTTTATTCTGTTAAAAATGAATCATCTAGTGCTGGTCATCTCAGCTTGGATTCATGGTCATGTGACATTCAGATATTACATCAAAGAGGTATTACAGCTTGAGTTCCAATAACTAAAATATATGCAAACATCTGGCAGAATTTCAAGGATGCGCGCACAATCACTGAAATGCTTTGTTTGAAAAATGAGGATTTCCACAGCGTTTGCCGAAACAAAGCACGAAGAAATTATGATAAAAATAATAACTAACTAATTACACCCAAAAAAAAATGTGTTCACCTCCGGTGGGACTCGAACCCACAATCCCCGGTTTAGGAAACCGATGCCTTATCCATTAGGCCACGGAGGCCCACGGAGTTCAATGATGCCCCTCATAAAATTGCAATCTGTTAATAAATGAACCGCGATTGGGAGTAAGTAAGACGTTATTATATTATCCACACAAGCACCTTTTTGTTGAATTCATCCAGTCACTCCTTCCTTCTCTTCTCTTTGTTTTTTATTTGATTTTTTTTCCTTCTCCCCCACCCCCTCTCTTTCTCTCTCTCTCTCTCTGAAATAAACACGCCCACACATAATAAACTTTAATACAGGATAATAACGGCACAAAATAAATTAATGCATTTAACTCTATATATTTATTTCTATATATGATTTGTATAACGAATTTCACGGGAACCAAACAAATGGTAACTTTTAAATAAAAATGCTTATAATTTTCTTACATTAATTTGGAAACGTTATGCCAGGAGATTAAAAGAAAATATTACGAATTGTAGCATAAATTTAGTTTCACAATTATAAGAAATAATGAGGACCTAACTATGATAATTCATACAATTACGTCATCGTGTGATCATAATGAATGCTGCCCTCATATTTTTAGTAATTTTTCTTCGATTTTGTGTTTGTTTTAATGATTCGTTTGTTTATTTAGTGAAGTAAAAACTGACGGCCTTAGAATAATCATATCCAAGTAATTGCCAGATATTGATTTACACCCGGGTGAAGAGTGTCAAATGTGAATTATTGTCTTGCAAAATTAAAATGCATATTACATGTAGCAGGTTCTATGACAGTTACCCTTTGGACAATCACCCAATGGTAAATTACCAACGGGATATTACCTCTAAGGACAATAACCCCCAGTCAAAATTAACCCAAAGGACATCCATCACCGATGACAATAACCCCCGGAAAACTACCCCCCCCCCCTTGAAAAATCAGCCCCTTCGACAATCACACCCTTTCCCGAGGACAATCCCCCTTCCCTGAAAATGATACCCTTTGACAGGGGATATTTTCTTTTGGGGGGGGGGGGTAATTGTCCTCCGGGGGTTATTGTCCAATGGTGTGATTGTCCAAGGGGGGAATTTTCAGAATTGGGGTGGGGGTAATTGTCCTTGGGACGTAATTTTCCCGGGGAATAATTGTCCTATAGCCTTGGTTGTCCTTCGTGTGATTTTCCGGGGGGGGGGGGAATTTCCGGGGATGATTTACCTGCATGGGGGTGATTGTCCAGGGAGGTAATTGTCCTGATACGCATGTACCATGATTACGGTACTGCTTTTATTGCATATACTACTGTCTTTTGATACTTTAATTATCGTCATATTATGTTACTGCGTTAATGTTACATTATGGACATAGTATTATATACATACAATTATTATGGTACTTCTATTATTGTCGTATTACGATAAAACTACATTTGTAAATGTCATTACGATAGGTACTAATATTATTGTTTAAATACGATTTCCTCATCAAGTTTTTACCTAATTTTGCATAATTATCTAGGCTAGATAATATGTTCAATTTCTGTGAGAAACATTCGCCAAGTATTAATGAAGAAGAAACAGTTCTCTGTAAATTATTTAGGCCTTACACTACCAGAATAACCAAAGACCTCAATTAAGAGGATTATTCGTTTTAATTCCTTTGTGGGGGCGGTCTAGAACGAGGCTCGAGAAGGACTTCGAACTTAGGTGCGTACATGGTGAAGGAACCCTTCACGTTAGACACATCAACGACAGGCCCCTCCGGGAAACGGACGGTGTATTTCTGGACCAGGTTGGCAATAGTCAGAAAGATGGTCCTGCGGGCAACTTCCTGGCCGGGACAGGATCTTGGACCTGGATATAACAAACAAACAAATGAACATTACAAAAAAATACCAAAAACGGACAAATTAGTGCCTTAATGTTGTAGATGCATAGATGCACAAAAACTCTGCTCTCTCCTCATTACAGCTTCACCAGATTTTCCCTTTGTTATTCGCCGTAACGAGGACATCTAAACAACCTGTACATCCAATGAGACCAAAAATCCTAAGGTCATTGAGACCAAGAGCCCACGTGACACAGAGTCTCAAGTTTACTGGCTGAGGACACCGACAACCTACGGAGCCGACACAATTATAGATTATGATTAATCTATATTCAGTCATTTAGAGACACCTCAATTACTAGTTGTAACATTTTGATGTAACACAACACATTCAAAGTAAAACTGTTCTTGGTCCGAATGCCTAAGCGATGTTTTAAGTCTTATTTACACTATTCAAGGATATTTATATTATAACAGCGTCGGCCAGAAAGAAAACAAATAAGATGCAAAGAAGAAAGAAGAAAAAAGAGGAAGAAGAAAGAAGAAGATGGAAACAAATTACGGGAATCCCAATTTGACGAAAAATGACTTACCGACAGAAAATGGGGTGACGATACGGGCTTTGTCCGAGTCAAAGGTCAGGTCATTGCCGTTGAGTTTCAAGAATCTCGTAGCGTCAAAGACCTGTGGATCAGATTGCCAATCGGAAGGGTCGTTGTGCATGGCCCAGTGGTTTGGAATGATGAGAGTTTCCTTGTCGATGGCATAACCACCGATCGTGCCGTCTGCGGACGCTGCATGGGGTATTCCCAAGGTAGCAACTGGGCGAAGGCGATGGACCTCGGTCAGGAAGGACATCGTCCGTGGAAGACTCGTGCGATCGTCGTACGTAACGTCGGTGCCAAAGTTCTTCATCTCCTGGCGAATCTGAGATGAGGGAAGCAAAGGTGGGTTTGTACCTCATTCACAGAGCCAAGCCGATGCCAAACCGACCGATCCTTGGCCATGCGCTAGGGATAGGCTTAATGTGATTTGGGGGTCTGTTGTCAGTAGTGATGTAGCTAGGAATTGTGTATGGCGGCCGAAGGAAACCATGAAATTAATGAAATATTGTTTCGCAAAGTAACCGAAAGTAAACATCTCTTTCAGTACTAATATTTGTGGAATTACCTTTGAATACCATTTTGTATGGATCCAGTAAACAGGGGACGCAATTTTAACAAGAGCCTGATCTAACTTAGAATCGAGAGCAATGCAATGATTTTAACCCTTTAAAATACTATTTATACACATTATCTATTATATAGGGGTGCCAAATTATGAGATTCTGGAGCTAAGCAACCGAGTCTTACAAAAATGTTGCATTTTAAACAGTCAAAAACTGTCTTTGTAATGCCCTAACACAAACTGTCATCCCATTCTCTTTCCCTCTTTTGCGTTTTTGTTTCTACTCCTTTAGGAATTTTATTTTTCATATATTATATATTTGAAAGGTGTTGTAACGATTCAAGCTCTATTTGCTTATGTTTCACCACCTTTGTGTGTTCATTCTTCAAACTGTATATAAGTTACAACTTGTCTTTGATAAAACAATGTTATATTCTTTTTCACGTGAAGTTAATTCAAATGTATTGTAAAATTGAAAATGATTTGTCATCTTATATTAATTTTTCATGTGATGTTAACTTCAATGAATTGTGAAATTGTGAACATGCATAAATAAATAAATAAAATAAATTGTAAGATTCATGAATACGAAGGTTCGTTATTCCGAAAATGGAATAGAACCCCATTACTGCATTTTCGGTATAAATACAAGGGAAAGCAAACATTGCGACTTTACCTTGTCTTGGAGGTCCAGGTCACTTGCCAGGTAGTAGATGTCCCATGTTATGACCTCGGGTACGGTGTTGACACCGGCCGTAAAGAAGTCATACATAAGTCGCCATCCGTCCTCTGGTTGGGCAATGGACGACTCACGCTTCAAAAAGAAATCGCTGTAACGTTGCACGAGGCTGGTTTCACGGTTCGTGTAGATGGCCTCTTCCGCTCGTTCTTTGAGGTATTTGGCCACACCTACCAGCTGCAATATAAATTACGAAACGACCGGCAGAAATCCCGGGATGCGGATGATAATTATTATGGTTGAGGCGAGTGACGTGATCTTGTGGATACGTTGCCAAGTATCAGGTTCGAGTCCCGTTACGACATTAATTTCCTTTGGCAAGAGATTAATCTTAATTTGCCACTCTCTACCCAGGTGTTGAATGGGTACCCGCTCAGATGCAGTTATTAATTTGGTTGGATTGGCATGCGTGCTCTTGTAAACCAATTGAATCCAATAACCGGGGGATGGAGACAAGAAAATGCATGGAGCAAATGTTTTGACTTGTAACCCCCCCCCCCCCCCTACAAACACCACTCGAGTGGCGTAATAAGTAATGTTGTCCAATATCAACTTCGTGAGCTTAACCCCCTCCCACCTTCAGGATTGTCATAGAACCTTCTATATAAGGGTTATCTTTTAGATACAAAATTGCTTTACAGTGATGCAACTACAGTATTTCGAACTGACAATGGCGGTACTCACGTTGGTTTCGTAGTCATCTACTTTAGTGTTTGGCAGGACAGTAGATATAAACCCTGGCTGAAACAAGACACTGTTACTGAGAGCATCGACGTCCTCAAAGAATTTCTGGAACTGCCACTGGCCGCTGATTGTATTTCTATGACCGGCTGTATCGAACGCTATACGGGTCATCACGTCCAGTACGTGCTCCCTGAAGATCATTTTAGGGACGACTAAATCGCTGGGAATTGCCCCCGTCAATTCATCGTCGAAGAAGGCGATGGCTTCTTCGATTTGAGTTTCGACGGTGGTTCTCAGGTACGACGTTTCCTTGAGGGTACTGTTGACAAAGGCTCGTGCCTCGTCCGAAGCAGCGCCGTTGTCTCGTATAGTACCTTTGTTGAAAATGGATTAAATACGTACCGTTGAATTAAAAAATGATAATTAATTCAACAACAACAAAAAACAAAAACACCCCGAACAAACAGAAGAGGCCAGAGATTAACTGACATTGAAAAAAGTTGTAGAATGAATCTCAGTAGAGGTGTCGAAGTGAAGTGGTTTAAGCATTTGACTTTAAAATAATGCAATGGTCGTGGGTTCGATCCCTGATACGACACTAATGTCCTTTGGCAAGGCATTAATCTTCATTACGCCACTCCCTACTTAGGAGAGAAAAGTGGACCTGGTAAGATGGCGAAGGCCTTTGTGTTAGTAATTGTCATACTTATGCCCTCACGGTGACCATTATGGTAGGAATACTCCTCGGGGAATGGAGACATTGCATATTTTGGTCGAATGAATCCGATGATCGAGGTAAAGCGCTTAAAGACGGTATTTCGCATTTTAAGCGCTGTATAAATTCAGATTAGACTTATTTATACTATTCCTACAACTAAGGCTCATTCAGAAATGACGCAGAAAATACGCGGCAGCTTTTTTAATAATAACGTAAAGACGTAGTACGCTTACGTTTCTTAATATAATAGCAAGATTATATCACAGAGCTCCGTGAATAAACGTGATTATATACCTCTTACCAGTGGCGGATCCAGGGGGGGGGGGCAGGGGGCCCGCCTCCCCCCCTTGAGAAAAAAATCATGTAAAATCACGTGATTTTTTACATTTTTTTTGGGGGGGGGTTGCCCCCCCTGGCGCTCAAGGGGGGGGGGGGTGCAACTTTTAAAATTTTGGAGGACCAAAAAAAAATGTGCTTACTACCCCCCCCCCCCCCCCCCTTTTTCTCCGACTTTTTCGTTTTCATACCTCGCCACTGCATGAGCTCTTCTGGTAGCTGCTTCTTGTTTGACTCGACCCCACGATCGGAGAAGAGGTGATACTTCTCCAAAAACGCTTCATCCCTGAATCCCCTGGAGTTGATGAAGCAGATCTTTGATAAACCGAGGTTTAACTGGTAGAGTCCGCCTTCCTTTTCGCTGATCATCTCAGCCGCCGATCTCTGTCAAAATGTCGAAAATCATGAAATATTTTGAATTCTGATAATTTATTATGAGGCAGTTGAACGCACTGATATTACGACAAATCATAAAATGTATCAGATTTTGAGATAACTATTATGTTATTATATATAACAATAGAAACCCAATATTTTCAGAATAGATTGATGGTTAATTTGTAATGTTTTTTTAAAAGTTTGGCATGATTGGAATCTGGAAGACGTGAATAGGAGAAAGCAAATCTGTGATCGCAAAGCCTTTTAAGAAATCAACTCCTGGGCAATGACAAAACACTACTGGATTTATGATTTTGCAATCTGTCATTGTATAATGATCACACTTTTAAGAAACTGCAATATGTACAGGGTTATTGAGAAAAAAAATTAAGTCGTGTTGAATGAAAATTGACGAAATTCTTGCCTTACTTATCTCCCAGTAAATAAAGCCTAACAGAGGTGTATTAGGTATTTAAGCGCCAGGGGCGAGCAATGAAACTTAGAAATCTACAAAATTAATCTTCATGATATGGGAGGATTTATTTTGTTGTTGAAAAGTGCTGAAACTAGAAAAGAAACAACTCATTTGCCCGGATCATTTGTCACCATTTATCTTTCTCTCTTTCTCTCTTTCTCTCTTTTTCTCTCTTTCTCTCTCTCTCTTTCTCTCTCTCTATCTCCTTCTCTCTCTCCTGCCCGATGTCGAAGGTCTTGAAAAGCCACTGCTCATGCAGGCTATAATACTAAATGATACTCACCGATCTAAAGAAATCGCTTACTACCCTTTTCAATTGCGTAAAGCTCCCCAACAGCCCCGGACCGGGAGGTGTTTTTCCACTCAATGCGTCAGAGTTTGGTGTCATCACCATCAACATCCCGACCACCATCACCACCTTCACCACCGTGCACGTAAGATGCATCTTGGAGTTCGATTTGGTAGCTGTCCCGATGAAGCGGTTTAGGCGTTGAAATACTGAGGAAAGGGAAGTGTTGTGGTCTGTCAAATCATTATGAAATCAGGTAGAGATGGTATTTTATATATAAATTATTAATTAATAATTATACAGTATAATAGGGGTGCCGCTCTAACGGGTCGCTTTTTGCCAAAGAGCGGAAAAGAAAGAGAATAAAAAATAAACATGGGGTGTGATTTTGTGTTGGGAAATAGTAACAAATGAGCCCATTTTTAGATCCTGGCCGTAAGCATCGGTTACTCGTTCCTTCAGAATAATATACCTCAGCAAAATTATTGCATATTGCAAATCCCAGATACAAAAAAAGGAAAAGAAGTTACTACGTCTGATTCTAAAGGGTGACGTTTTGAATGGAATCCCATAATAATAAGTATCCTTTTCTGCCATAATGACCCATTTAAAATTGTTATGGATTTGAAGGTTTCAGCCATACACCCTATTGAAACCAAATTGAGATATTAGTTTAGGGAAATTAGAAGATTAATGATAAATAATTTAAATATTTTCACAATACGGAAACATGCCGCGATAATGGAAATATATAAAAATATCATTTGTAAAAATAAAAAGATAAGGGCATAGAAATGACAGGGCAAGCAGATGAATAACAGAAAAAATGGAAAACAAAAGTAATGATAAACAACTCAAAAGTAGCCTATAGGCCTGTATTATAGCCTGTTTAGCCATTTCAAATTTTCTCGTATAAGATATAGAATCGTTCAAAATAGTTGAAGTTATAGTTTTTACGAGTAGTGAGCTAGGTACACGAGCAAAAAAGGCGCAGTGTTGTCAATTTAAAAAAAATTAAGTAGAAGATTTTATCACTTTTCCAAATCTACCCCAAAACCTATTTTAAAATTTAAAGGGATAGTTTGTCAAGGCTACTCACCTGTACCTGCCAGTGAAAGAAAGCCCACGTACTGATATCACCGAGGATTCTCTCAAACTGGTCACTGACCGAGAAGCGGCAGCTTATATATCGTGTGTGAAGAATGGATTCTATAATTGAGATGCTGCTTAAATAGAAAAGGCAAGGTTTGTTCGATCTAGAAAAATACAAAACATCTGCCTGAGATAAATGGAAGGTGTTAGTACTCCTTGTTTGTTCTCTCGCGAGTACACTTATCATTCAATCAATTGGGCATATTTGATGTGGAAGTTGGAACACGAAGGTATCTGTCAAGTTTTTAAAGGTACTATGTCCCATTTGCAGGCCAAACAAAGATAAAAAGGTTAAATTTCAACGGGATTTGAAAGACAATACTATAGAACTTCCCTCAAAACGAAAGGGCTTGAAAATGGCTTTCGGTGGGAAAATAACGACCATTAGTTGTCGAATTGACTTAAGTGATTGCAATCACCTAAGTCATGGTCTGATTTTCAGACCCTTTTACCAAATGGCTGTACGTTTTGTGATGCACAAAGATTCAATCAGTTTGATTTTGGCCATTACAAGAAGTGGGTTATTGATGTAGACTAAATGCTCATGTACCTGTTACAGCCTATTTTATGTATGTTATTACCAAAGAAAAATAAATGTCAGTCAGTCACTCAATGGTGTCTGACAGTGAACTCTAGAAGGTAAACGGGTTTTCTTGCATAAACAAAATTAAAGGACACTGCCAACGTTTAAATCTCACATATAGGACATACATGACATAGGACTATTCCTAATTCCTGCAAAGTTCTACAGATGTTGGCTGCAAAAGGGACATAGTATCTTTAAGTTTGGATATGAAATATCCCTTATGACAGTTGTCAATCATAACATGCTGTATAACAAAAGTAAATAAAATACGGGATAAATATATGCTTTCAAGGGATTCAATGTACTGTTATCATCGAAACTATAGGGTTAGAAGGAGACCAATTAAGGGTCAAAACCTGGAAATAAAGATTCGAAGAAAGAAGATTACAGGCAAAAATATTACAAGAAACACTGTCAGTTTTTTTAAATATGAAATCAAATAAGGAATATTGATCAATATTAAAAAAGATAATTCATAATGCTAGCAATTTTTTGACGATAGTGAATAAGGTTACCATACATAATAGTGGGTCGGGCGAGTCTAGCTGCCCCAGTTCAGGTTCGTGTACTCTCTATCATGCTATTCTCATCCATATTTGCACAAGATAATTTAAAAGAAATATTCCTATTTACTCTTATGCGTTGTAAAATCTATATGCTGAAGGTTTACAGTGTCACTGACCTCAGTTTCTGTATACCATCCAACAAATTTGCACGAGGTGATATATTTGTTCTTCTTTCAGTTCGTTATATTTTTAAATCTGTGCTTCATTGTCTATTGCCATATTTGCACAAGATAATTTAAAAGAAATATTATTATCAACTATTGTGCTTTGTAAAATCTATATGCTGAAGGTTTACAGTGTCACTGACCTCAGTTTCTGTATACCCTCCACAAATTTGCACGAGGTGATATATTTTTTCTTCTTTCAGTTCGTTTTATTTTTTTTTAAACTGTGCTTCATTGTCGACTGCAGGAGGATATCTAAAATAATGAATAAAGTTCATCCAGAAAGGTTGCAAAAAGCAAGAAAACAATGATTTCAAAAACATTATGATTTGAGGGAGTACGTCTTGTTAAAAAGTCGAGAAATGGCTGAATTTGTACAATATCCTCTCCTAAGTGAAAGAAATATTTGTTTCAACACAATAAAAGCGGCTCTTTCCTCTGATATCCCAAATAACGTCTTTTATTTAGGAATGGGTATGAAGACAAAGATATCCTCCACATGGGAGATGGGGAAGGGCACAAATCCTCATAACTTGAACATTTTAAGGGTAGACTTTTAACATAAAATACGATTCAAGGCTACATAACATAATATTTCTTTCGTCGAGGACGTGTAGTGAGCAAATTTAACAAGGATGTTATTTCTATTTTCTAAGCATATTCTGTGATCAGGCTAATGTATGATTTAGGATATATTCGTAAAATACAAGTAATAAAACATGCGGCCTACACAATTCTATTCAGGCGTGCATCAAAGTTAAACTTTCTGCATTGTTCCTATATTTTGTGTTGAAAGAGGAGGCGTATATGAAATGGCAAAGAGTGCGTACTTCCCACTTCAACCCCAACCCTAATTCAAAAATAAAAAGCAGGACAAAAACGGTGGAGCGTTTCTCAAAGTGGGGGCATCAACAAAATGGGCATCTTTTTATTCAAAAAGGGTGTGAATGATCTTATAATGTCACTTTGTGTAATATTTATCAAATACTCTGACGCAAGTATAGGCGAGCAAACAGACCCAGTCTTTTCTTTACAATGGTTTTCAGAATAATTCTGAAAACCATTGTATTGCATGAAAGCTGTTATTGCACCTATTCAACAGTTCTACAGTGAGGCGATATTGTTGGGGGAGGGGGGGGGGCAATGATCTGAATTAGATATAAATTCAGTTTATTCACATAATTATGATAGGAGGGCGTTCAAAATGAGTTAATGAGAGAAATTTCCTTTTCCTGTATTATTTTATGACAGGCATTGGTTGGTTGGGCGGGGGGGGGGGGGGGAACTGCCTTAAAATTTCTTTTACATTTTCTTCTGTTTTGTGATCACAATAATGTATATGTTGTCACTGTACACTTCTTTATACACTTCTTTGAATGTTATGAATGCTGTTTATTGTTCAACCATTGAAAAAAGAATTTCTGTTGTATGACGGATAAATCAATAAATCCAATTCTATTCGATTGAAATCTGTGTCAAGTCCCCAGCTAAAAGTCATAATCCAGGCATGGTTATCAAACATGAAATGCTATTAGCTATAAGGGTATATTTTCTTTTAAATATTTATTTTCATTGGAGAATCAATGAGCATTGGGCGTGTCGGGGCATAATAACAAGAGGCAACCTACCTTTGACATAATTTTTAGAATACCGAAGAGAGATGTGTTGATTTTAGAAGATCAGTTAACATCTGTAATTGCAAATCTACTCTGAATTCCAAGGATCTTATTTTTCTCTTGAAATGTCGATATAGGCCTACGGGGTGTCTAGGAAAATTATTTTAAAAAAGAAAAGGGCACTATGAGGGCCTGAGAGGAGTGACGTAATCACCTGTTAATAATGCATAGTGTAAAGACTATTACAATAATCAAACTTAGATAGAATTAAGGCACGTACAGCCATGGTGACGGCAGGGCTTACATTAATCCAAGGCCACCAAGGCCATGGCCTTAGATGCCCCTTTGATTGGCCTCAATGCCCCTCTCATTGGCCTTGGAGATTTTTTGTGCCCTTTCCAATTCTTCCTATTTGTGCTGTAATATAGAAATGTGCATGCCCTACAGAAAGTGGCCTTGCCCTAAAAATTGAAATTTAAGGCCTGTGACGGCATGGTGACAAGTCTTAAAATCAATAAATAAACGAATCCTCTATATAATAATTATATTCTGGAGATAATTATTACAAAATTATTTACATGAAAGGACATTGTGAACATGGTATGGATGCATACCCCAAGCTATGTAACTTTAGAGAAAGAGGGACGATTTGACCATTTACATCAAGTTGAAAATATAGAGATATTTTCAACATATTATATAGCGAGCAGAGGAACGAAGAGCTATGAAATCAGTTTTAGTACAGTTCAATTTATACACATGCAAGTGCTCTTGTGCCGTGTGTGGCTGCAATACCGTCCTTCTTATATTCAATAAAAAGTGTGGTGGTGCAAGTAAAACAAAAGCCCCCCTTGTATTGCGTACTGTTTACTCTGGCCTTTAAATAGTGTAATAAGTGTGAAGAAGAATAATTATTTTCTATTTGGCATAACGTATTTTAAAGTGATTTAGTGCTACTGATGAATTCAAACATGAATTTGAAACATCAATGGATATTTGGTACCATTTCTGCCTTGTTACTAATGAACTGGTTGATTGTAAAGAGAGAGAGACATAGCGTTAAAAAATTGGTGTTCGACGACCACGAAGGGACTCGAACCCTCAATCTTCCGATCCGAAGTCGGACGCCTTATCCATTAGGCTACGCGGCCGCATAAGAGAGAGGGCGCTTTTATCCGAAGTATAGCACAATGTAATAATCATGAATATTCATCAGATAAGTTTTGAACGCCAGCCCATGTGAATTTTATGACAGAAAGTATTTTGTAAGTTTAACATTTGTTTAACCTTTATTTTTATCATGTAACCACGGAAAGTGTAAACTTCAGTAAAGGTTCGAACTGAACGTTGTATGGTTTATGAAAACTCAATACTCTGCATGCAGCCTGCAGGTCTTTATTCCACAATCTGCAGACGATGTGTTGAATATCATGCTTGGTCCGACGTGCTTGTTTTTACGGCGGCCGAGAAGAGGAGGTATCGCGATAGCTCCACGTTACCGTGCCCTTCCCGCACGCGCGCGCCGCATTCACACGGCCACGGTTATAAAAAGGATTGCATTGTCCTGAAAACACGCCTAAAATTCGACCCAATGAGCTTCAATGTTGACCTTAGACTAGTTATGCTACATCAAGAAGGTATTTTTGATCATTTACAGTATGAGTAGGCTCTTTTTTTAGTCATAGTCTTCTAGAGCATTTTTAGGATGTTTTCTGGAAGTTTAATTTTTACTTTTTTATAATTTTAAAACTTTTTAAAAATAGGTCTAGATCTGTTAGGCCTACTAATCTACTAATCGTTTGTAGTGTAGAATTACCGAGTTAATAATTCTACTGTGCAGTCTGTGCTAAAACTCCTGACAGTGACAGTGAGACTGAAAATGAGAGAGAGAGAGGGAGAGTCACAGAGTGATTACAAATAAATTTGTTCTTTTGAACAATGTTTCCCAAAGTTTTTTGTAGGTCAAGACCTCTAGACTTTTGTTTGTTCTGGGCGCTTGTTCAGTAGACCTACTAAGGTATCCAAAATATGACCCGTAACTCCGGCGTGGAGATAGTCCCTACTAAAACATGACCAAAATGAAGTAAATATTCATTAGATCTAAATGTCCAAATAAAGATCATGAGTTAAAATTTGTTAGAGTAGGGTCTAGTCTAAAGTAAAGGAGCCCGTTTTCGGCCACTTAAGACAAAATCCTATTTTTATTTTAGGACTCTTTACTTCCTATTTATTATCATTTCTTGTTCAAATCATGAAGCAAATATTATTAGATCTATTATTTAAACAAAAAAAGAATCCCAGAAAAAAAATCACGAATTGCCATGACAATATTCATTTCAATTTTCACTGTTTTGGAGCCCGTTATCGGCCGAGCGTTTCAGTTTACGGCCGCATGTACAAAGTCAATAGGAAACATGGCCGAAGACAGGCACAGCGGTGATCGGAAGTTGGAATCTGAATTAGACAGAGATATCGTGTGTGCGTCTCGGTGTGCGGCTGCATTGATTTAATACATGCGATGACATACTTTTGAGCTTGCGACTAGCACAAAATCGGGCTTTAAATCTGAAAAATACTTGAAATAAAGCTCATTTTATGGTACCCATATTTCTTACAGACACGCGTAAGATACTCGATTTTTCAGATTTGGGTAGCGGGACCGGCGATTACATCGCTAAAATGTGATATTTTAGGATATATTTTCCATTGCAAATGTGGTTCTTCAGTGACACTGGCATGGTATGGTATGTGTGGGATATGTGTTATGCTATTATGCGATGTATTTTAGAGTGATTTTACCTTGCATCCAACCAATCGGCCGAAAACTGGAGCTGGCCGATTACGGGCTCCTTTACTCTATGTTTATTAGGCCTACCTGTTTCGTGTCAATTTTCTGGGTTGCGGGTGGGCGCGCGCCTGTGTAAAGTTAACTAGACCCTACCGTAATGAGGATCTGAGACATTAGATCTAGAACTACGTTTGATTACTTCACAAATATCCAACAAAAATGGTGAAAAACGATCCCAAATTGGAAATTGAAAAATCGTTCAGACACCCTACATATAGACTAAAGGAGGTAAATTTTCTTGTTATTTTTGGAGTATTTTTCGGAAAAACAATGATATTAGTAGGGTAGCGCGCCCAGTATTCGGTCAATTCCCAGTATTCGGTCAGACAGCCGTTTCAACAGCTGTAACAATTTAAAAAATAATTTAAGAGCCACGAAACTTGCACAGATCAGGCAGCTGAACAACTTTTCTTAACTCTCAAAATTAAATCAGATTTAGGGCCCCGGAAAGATCTCCAACTTAGCTCAAAATTGGTCAGTGTCGCAAGACTTTCTGCCCTTCTGCGTTCTCTTAGCACATGCGCTAACATGCATAGCCATATGTAGAAGTCTATTGCGAAACAACTGCGTGTGCTGTCGCAATGAATTTAGTATGTGTGTGAAGAGAATCACTTCCGTGTTCACTCCATCGCAGTGAATTTGCAAATGACGCATTTGCCGATGTGCGAGAGGTATTTATACGATACCCTTGCCATGCGGTATCGCTCGACCAGTATTCGGTCAACGCATTGACATTCAGTGCTTTATCGCGCAATTGTGTGAAAATAGTGCGCAAATACGCTTGGCTCTTTGGCAACGGAGATACCACGCACAAATCGCGTGACCGAATTCTAATCGGCACAACCGAATTCTGGGCAGAAAAAAGCTCCGTCTTCTTTCGGAAGTATTTTGCTTATCATTATTCTATATTTTAAGTGACTATAAAATCCTGTTAGAGGAATAAATTTCTTTTCTTTTGATGGGTATATTGCCAAATAAAAGAGGTAAGAATTCAAAATATTAGTGATTTCCCCTTAAGTGACCGAATACTGGGCACTCTACCCTACACACATTTTCTCAGGTTTCATGGCAAACCGCTGCAGAATACAAGGGTATTTTCAAACTTAAATCCTACGTGATCCCTTGGGGCTAGCGGGAAAAAAAGAACATCAACGTATAATACGACTTGAACTAGACCTAGTTATCCCTCGGGGGGTCGATTCTCAAAATGAGTTGGAAATCTCCCGAGTTGCCATGGAAACGCATTTAAATCGCTGTTTTTAACCAAGATATTTTTAGAAATTTGAAATGACCCCCCTTTGGAAATATGGGAATTAATCTGCCCTTTTATATGACACCTCATTTATTGAGTATCACCTTCAGGATCACAACAGATTAAGGTTTGAATCTAAATTTATTTTTAAAAACTTGACTTATTTTGCAATGCACATAGATCTAGACTCTATAGGGATGTGTGCAATGTCAATGGGAAGGGTTTTAGCACACAAAACCTGGTGCGCGATCAGACACCCTACTATATGGTGAAGTAACTTACCACCAGTCTACGTTACATGTAGATCTAGTCTCTAGACGATCAGTCATTCAGTGCAATATTTCAATAAGTTAAAATTTAAACTGAACAATATATTCTGTATCTGTATCTGTATTGTTAGGTCAGCAAAATGTCTGTTGGACACATTCATGCTAACTTTCAAATTTTTTAAACAAATATTTTTGGATTTCAGGCTTTTGAATAGATCTAGATCTAGATCTAGACCTAGACCTATAAAAAATAAAACATCTGATTCTGAAAATAAGTGAAAGCGTTTCTACTTCTAGAATGTTTTGTTTTGTTTGTTAAATAACCAATCAACATTGTAGGCCTAACTGTAAGAAATGATAAACTATGCTCTTTGTATTTCTACATGATTTTTTTTGTCTCTCAAATTCGAAACTGCCAGAAGAAAGCACACTTTTGTACTTTTTCCTCATACAATCCTCCAGGCATCCACTTCAATATCAGCAATTCAAAGAATTTACAGCATGAGCAGGAGAGACATTTTGGGAAGAGTCGTCAATCTGTCAAGACGCCATGGTTACGTATACTCCTCGGGACACCTGAGGCCATCGATGGGGGTGAAAGGTTGCTTTGACTATGGGCCTTTGGGAGTGGAGTTAAAAAGGAATCTGCTGAATGAATGGTAAGGAACAAATAAATGAATGAGGTGTTAACTCATAAACTTTAAGGTTTTACACAGAGTTAGCACCCCTTTATTTCTGAACATAATAAACTTTAATTAGGCTGCAATTTTATTATTTTAATTTTGCTGTTTTGTTTTTGTTTTGTATAATTTGTTAAATTTTATTTTGTTTTGTTCTTGTTTTCCTTTTTTGTTTTGTTTGTTCTTCTACTTTTTATTCTTGTTATCTCCAAAGGCTTTGCAGCCTATCCAAATATCTGTAGACCTACATGTATGTAGATTAACATGTGCAAATGCTGACATCCCAGAACCTGAGCCTGCATCAAGAACAGAGAGGAGTTGCATGGTTACGCATAACATGGCGACAATCATTTGTTTGTGTTTACGGGACTCAGACCCATGATAGTCATATTGAGAGTCAGACGACGACTGGTTTTGGCCCCACCATCTCCTCTTTTTTTTCTTTTTTCAAATATAATTTTTTTTCTTCTTCTTTGTTTTGGCAGTGAAATAAAGGACTTTCCACAGTATTGTTTGTGTGCATCTTGCACAATTCCTGGAGTTCCTGGTAAAGTGGTATCATACTTAGTAAATACATGATCAGCTGGCCCAGCGCAGCTTACACTGTAGGAGAGCAAGAAACCATAAACATTAACGCAGAATGTCCTTAAAGCACATTGTCTTACTCTTAACAAGGCATTATCTTCCTTGTTTCCATGGTTATGTGTTGTAGGTGGAGTGAGATGGTCAGCTCTCAGGAACATGTCGTAGGTGTAGACAATGCAACCTTCCAGAGCAGCACAGTCGCACAGAGCTCATCCTCACCTGGGCAAAACGGTACTAGTACATCACAGCATAACCTTAGTGTCAGGTAACCAATTGCTTGACCTATTCAGGACAGGGATTTCTAAGGCCTAAATTGATCACATGTTCTCAAAATTGACAATAATATATGCTTTATATTGCTATTTTATTGTAAATTATATTGTTCTAATAGAATATCATATCTCTGAAAACTATACACATGGGTAAGAACTTTGTTGAAACTCTGAAGAAAAGAAAATAATGCCAATTCAATTTTGTTTAACCTATTAACAGTTATTCTTGTTTAAGCGGGTGGGGGGGGGGGGGGGGGGTGAACCCATGATTTTTCTCAGAACAGAACAGAAAACTATTGGTCACAGTAGATACGTTTCCAATGTATGATGTGAATAATATGGCTTTTTGAACAGGTTTTCATGTTATGTTATCCATCTAGATTACATGAAGGCAATGGAGAGGCATGCCTGCAAAGCTCATTGCATGATGGTAAGTATATATTTAGGATTCTTCATGGAACTATCTGTATGTAGGGATGTGCCAGTAGTAATCATTATTCACCTAACACAGTAATTAGACTTTTAAAGAGAAATTTGAGTTCTGGTAAAGGTGGAAACATCATTTTTGAGCTTCTCTTTTTTTTTTTTTTTGTCAGTTTAGAAAATATTTAAAAATGTTTAGAAATGTCTCCTGAAAACCCTCATATTTAGAATGTGACAAAAACACCTGAAAAGTGGAGACCAAACTTTTATTTCACATGTGTGTAGTCCCAATTACCAATTTCTGTGTGTAGTCTTGTGATGTTCAGCTAGATTTAATCAAAATCTTCTCATTTGATGATATCAAAAACCTCAATTCTTATGTTCTACATATCCACTTTGAATTTTGTGCTGTGCAGTTACGGATGAACATGGACAGTTGAATAATTCATCAGGATTAAACTTGTCTTTCTTCAGCGACCAATTATCAAGATTATTTGAAAGAATTGAGTGATGGACTTTCTGCTACATATGATGGGAGACCATTCCATTTGCTTACCTCAAACTCATAGTTTTTTTTTTGGTGCCTCATACTGTTTCTCAACTGTTTCATTTTGTTTTGGGGAGCGGGTTGTTTTTTAAGCTGATTCACCCCTTTTGAGCTTAAAATGTTCTTATTTTGTGTCACCTTCTGGGTACTGCACTGACTGTGATTTGATGATTGTATGAATTTTCTGAAAGACTGAAAATATGTAATTTATCATTTGCTTTTCTTTGTGTCACCCACAGGCTTATTTAGCCACTATTTCAACACATTATGCCTCTTGAACAGAAGGTTGCCTTTTGGCCTGGCACAGGTTGGTCCCTGCTTTAACAGGTCCTCCTCATCTCAAGAACATGATACTTTCATCTTCAAGTGAGTACGCTTTGTTGAGAATTATTTGTTTTATTCTGAGAGAGGACAGACTCACAAAGACAGGACAACAGTTGGGAATGTAATTATGATGGAAAGAAAATGAGAGAGTGAAACTGAAGAAAGACAGAGAGAGAGAGAATGGGGAAGGGGGGATGATGGGGAGGGGAGGGAATGGAGGAAAGGAAGGTGGAGGAAGAGTGTAGGAGAGGAAATTACACACAAAAATGGAGTGGGATGAAGAGATTTGGAGTGAAGAAGAGAGGTAGACTAGAGTGTGGCAGGAATGTTGAAAAGAGACAGAACTAAAACTAGGAGGAGGAGAGTAAAAGCATAGAGACGGACAATAAATCATAGTATAAGGAAGAAGACAAAATCACATAAAAATTATCAAAGTATTGTCACTGTTTTTTTATTTCTTTGACCACCAGTGGCCTGCAAACGTCAGAGATGTCCATGCAGTTTTTCTCGACCCCTAAAACAAGCAATCTGTCGTTTAACACCTGGCACAGAGACAGGTTATCTTGGTGGAGAAAGGTTAGAATAATTTTCATAATTTTCAAAAATGTCATCAATTGGGAAAAAATGTGTACGTGGGACATTTGATAATATTTTCTACCCATCCGTCATGTTTCCTTGCTGTCTATACCCTCTCTCCCCTTTCTCCCTCTCTCTCTCTCTCTTTTACACCTCCCTCTCTCTTACTCCCCCCCCCCCCCCCTCTCTCTCTCTCTCTCTCTCTCTCACACATTCAATCTCACTGACTCTCTTTCTCCTCTCACATGCCCTCTTGCATCTCTCGCTCTATGTTTCCCTCCCCTTTCTGTTCCTCTCTTTTCTCTTGTCTCCTTTCCTTCCCTCCATTTATATTGATATCTTAATCTCTCATCTCTCTTTTCCCTCCAATTTCATCCCCTTAGTTTGCTGGCATACCGTCCGACTTCACTGCAACAGACATCAAAACGACAGAACACGTACAGTCGACTGAGATACAGTACAAGTTTCCATGGGGAGTAGACACGATCGAGAGAATATCTAACCATGGGAGCGTACCTGTTGAACAGATGCAGGCCTCATTTAAAACTGACATGCAGGTATACAGGCCGGCAGTTGTTAGTTCATAGGGGGGGGGGGGCAGTGGAAAATGGTCCCATATATGTAAAAACCACTGTTCTATCATCATTCTGTACATCAGTAGTTGCATATTTGGTATTTATTCCTTGTAAGTGACTTGTGCTTTTCTCCAAAACAGTATGTGCAAAAAGTGATTGCAGCCTTTAAAAAACACATTTGAATCCAACTCTGTATTGTTAATGACTGTTTTTACAGAATAAATATGTTGTACCTATTAATGTATGACAGTGTGCCAACTCTATAACATCTATACAAATTTACATTAAAATAATCAACTTATTTTAGGGGCTCACTTAATTTGTTGAAGACTGTATTTCAGTAGCTATGATCTGAAATCAGCTCTTATAATATCAGGTTTTTCTTCAAAAACAGTCTGGAAAGGAATGATAACAATTTAAATTGTTACACCCCCTCACACAAAAATCAAAACATTTTTCTCATTTCATAGGGAAAGGATGGGAGAAAGTCTGTGATCCCCCACATGATCGAGACCACAGCGTCACTAGAGGGCGGGCTCCTTGCCTACCTGGTGGACGGGTACCAGGAGAAGCAACGCACGGACACCAGGGGTCAGTCGGTGTCCAGGGAGATCCTTCGGCTTCACCTCAGGCTGGCTCCACTCAAGGTCATCGTGTTACCTCTCAGAGGAACCAAGGAACTCAGAGAGGTAGGAAGAGAATGGGTTTGGGTTTGGTTTAAAGGCTGTCTATAATAGTTTGGCTAGGAGGGATTAGATCACTCAGGGTGGTTACTGACAGGTGGCTATCTCATCAACTCAGCTTTCAATTAACATAAGAAAAAGTGGATCATGGGGGACCAATGGTCGATGATTAGGCAGTTATCTATATAAAGCGAGCAAGTAGCTACAAGTAGTACAGTGGGGCTTTAAATAGAGGGATGTCCAAAAACAGTGACTGCCATGAACCATAAACAATCTTAGACTAATGATATACTGAGTTTATGTATATTTCTTGAACAAAACATGCTTTTGTTGACCTGAAATCTTGCTAGAGGATGGCAGGACAAACCAGGACCCTGAACTAATGACCAGAGCCATAATGCATATTTAGTTGACAGCTACATGTAGGCCTAGTAAGGCTTGATGAATATGAACCCAGATGTACTGATTTGTGCTTATTTCTTTGAAAAAAAAATGCTTTTGATGACCAGAAAGCTTGTTATGAATGAGTTATGTATAAATGAATATGTTATAATGCATCACATATAAATTTAATACTTGGTAAGCACTACTTCAGGGTATAGTCATCCATGAAATTCAAGGTAAATGCACCAACTATGGACAAGTTAGTAAATGTGGCCAAGCACCACAATACCACCAAAGACAATAGCACCACAATACCACCAAAGACTAACCAGAAATAACTGTTTAGTTTGGTGTGATTCTAAGAGGAGTTTGTTTTTGTATTCAACTGAATGTATGTTTCTTCCTGGATGTGTTGCATGCTGTTCTTTTGTTCCTTCATCCTGTAGCTCTCGGACTACTTGGGCAAGGAATTCAGGAAAGCAGGTGTCAACGTGAGGAGCATCGTAGAAGTCTCTCCGTCCCTGGAGAATTATTACACCATGTGAGTTAAAAAACATTTTATATTTAAAAAAAAAGAGTGTGACATCTTGAAAACCTCCTGGAACTGCATTGCAGACACGAACCCTTTTCAGTCCCAACACAAAACATGGTCTGCACCGAAGCCTTATTAGTTCATGACATGGTAAACTGTCAACATAAAAAAATGGGTCAGACAAAATATAAAAGCATCTCATCGTACATGCGAATGAATGATGAGTGGGTGCTCACTTATCTTTGTTATGGATTAGGTTTTTTAGGAGGTTTGACGAGTCAAGTATGGAGGAGGCTTAGCACCTGTATTATGGCTGCTGCTTTCTTATGTACCTGTAACTTAGTCGTTGGAAAGCTGGGTTAGGATTCATGCAAGACACTAATTTCCTTTCTTCTTTTGAAAATTTCAAATTTAAATGTGGGTGTGTAGACGTCACAAGAGCAGATAGATATTTCCTTAGGCTCTCATTTTGATGTAATGGGTAATTTATTGAAAGGATCATTTTGTTTTTTTAAGAGCTTTAGGTTATTTGTTGTTAGTTTTCTGATTACTATTCTTTATTTCTGTCAAAATCCTCTTTCTATCTTCTCCAGGTTTGATGAGATGGGCGTGCCTTTCACTATACTACTGAATGAGAACACCTTAAAGACCGGTATATTGAGAGTGAGGCAGAGAGACACAACTCTCATGGTAAGTACACACACATATATATATATATATATATATATATATCGTGGCCCGGCTGGCAGAAGGGCATTAGCGCGCGACCAACTCGAAAAACTACTTTTCGAATTATTCGCATTTGAAGATTTGTTTTTATATTTAAACTGCTTTCCGTTCCCAAAATTGGTTTAAAACTTAAAACACTAATAGAAATGTTCTAGTAAAACACGGTCACAATTTTTTTTCTCAGAAATAAGTCTGTTTTATAAAATTTTGAGGCGATTTAGTGCTAACGCCCTTCTGCTTAGCGCTTCATTTTTTACCTGAAATTCGAGCTAACGCCCTTCTGCCAGCTAGTCGACGATATTTTACAATTGCGAACGATAGCCAGTTCAAGGCCCCCGTCTTATAAAGAGTTGATATTAATCACAACTTATTTTCAATTGATATCAATGGCAGCAACTAAGTACATAAGAGATAGGAGACTGCAAACTTGCGATTGATTTGAATTAATTGCAATTCTTTAAAGGAGGGGCCGAGGTGTCAAAAGATTTTTATTGACAGCTGGTCACACCAGCAGTCCCTGTTTATAGGAGAGTCCAGAATAGTTCTAATTGGTCATCAGAAATTTGCACCACCGACACTGTTGCTTTTCGGCATTTATTATGTTAAAGAATTAGCGTTTGGGTTTCGTTTGCAATTTTGTTTTATGTTCAGTGTAGGATCAGAGGTAGGGGTAGTTATAGGCTTGAGTTCAGGGTAGAAGTTAGGAGTTTAATTAGTATAGGAAATTAAATGCAGAGCAATTTTTTGGCCGGAGCTTGTGTCTTACAACAAATAAGTTGTGAGCTTTAGAAGTGCAAAATGGACTCCTGCCATAAAATTCTTCATGTCGGTAGATATATAACGATGGGCTGATCATGTTTATTGGCTAACCGTTCAAAGGTCAAAGCTCAATTGCTTCATGTTGACCCGATGAAGGATTTATGAATTTTAAAGAGGCACTCATTAGTTTTTGGTTAACCATGTTAGAAGTCATACAGTGTATAAGGTAAGAGTGATGCAATAATCTTTTACCTGATGATGGTCAATAATGTCATTGAATAGAATGTTTTGTGTTGTTATGAGAGGTTAAATGGCAGTAAATCTCAATCTTGTTGCGATGCCAACTCATTCTTTTACAAGACATCACTATTGTTATCCTTCACTGCTCTATTTATCCTCGACCTTACAGCAACAGCTCCACATCACAGAGGTTAGAGACATGATCCTGCGTCATTTAGAGGCAGACTGAGACACATGGATAGTCTTAGACCAGAGATGCCATCACCCCACCAGGTGCCTTTGAGCTGCTAATACAATTGCCATCTGTCCAAGACATGATTCTGTGTCGTCCAAAGGCAGAAGGCATGACTGAGTTAACACGAGAGAGGATCATGAAGAGCTGTGACTATATTACCAGTGAGCTGTTACCATCTTCTTTCATCTGTCCAAGACATGATCCTATGCCGTTCTAAGGCAGAAAGCATGACTGAGTCAACACAAGAGAGGACCATGAAGAGCTATGACTATGTTACCAGTGAGCTGCTCAGATCTTCTTTCATCTGTTCAAGACATGATTCAGCGTTGTCTAGAGACAGATTGAGGCAAATCTGACTCCACCAAGAGGACCATGATGAACTATCACTATGCAACCAGTGAGCTTCTAAGATGCTCTTGTCACTTGTTCAAGACATGATTCTGTGTCGTCCAAAGACAGAAGGCATGACTGAGTCAATCTAAGAGAGGACCATGAAGAACTATCACTCTGCCACCAGTGAGCTTCTAAGATGCTCTTGTCACCTGTTCAAGAAACGGTCCTGAGACGGCTCGAGGCTGAATGATGCAGATCAGAATTGATCATATACAGAGGTGCCAGTATCATCTAATATGTGAGCAACTACCATGCTCTGTAGGGTTATTGATGTAATTGTTGTTGCAAGTATTGTATTCTTGAAGAGATTTATTTATTTATTGAAATCAAGATAGGTGACATTTTTCAGAATTACTAGCATGATTTATGAAGTGTTGACCTAAATTTAGTAAGTTTATGGTATTTTATATGACATGTCACTGGTGATAATAATAGTGGTTTCTTGTATTGTGGCATGATGCTACTCAAAGCGCTCCGTTGTTATTACCTAGCTTGAGCATAGCGGCCATTACAGCACTCCGGCATTTTAAAGAATTCCTGCTCGATACCTATTTACCTCACCTGGGTTGAGTGTGTCAAAGGTAGGTAGATTATTTTAAGAAAGGATATCATAAACAATGAAGAAAAAAAAAGTATATACATACCCCTCTCCCCCCCCCCCCCCAAAAAAAAAAACACTCAAAGAACATGGAAACTAAAGTGTTATTTGAACGCACAGTTGAAAAAGAGCAGTGGATTTTCACTTGACCTTGACTCTTATTTGATCTACTGCACATTCCATTACTGAAAAATCAAAACAATAGGGGTCTCATTAAAAGATAAGAAAAAAATGTTTCTATTTATACTTAGCATAGGGATTGATTATGACACGAGGAGAGAAACATAATCTATCATGATGATGATGATGAACATTCAAAGGCGCGAGCTCCTCCAAACTTTCTTTGTGGGGTTTAGTTTACATACCTTTGCTGAGCAATGCCTGGTCCAGCCCTTCCAAATAGTTTTTCGCGATGACCTTTCACGAAGCTGCACAACACTATAACCTCCTCATGTGTCCAGTTTGGTTTCCTTCCTTCCTTTCGGATGTGAGAAACAAAGCAAATGACTTAACGTCTGTAGCTGGGCAATCTGTGTCGCACACCTCTTATGTAATATAATAATAATAGTACAGTTCTTATAAAGCGCATAATACATTTGTTAACATCTCTACACAGAAAGACATGTGTGTAGGATTTATTCACCTCTTATTAAAGAGATATGTTTTTAAAGATGTCTTGAACTTATCCATGGTATCCGTGGGATGCTGTTCCACAATTCAGAGGCAACATGCCCAAAACTATGTTTACCGTAAAATTTAGTTAAATGTGAGGGACTACATGTAAACAAGTCCTTCTGTGCTATCCTCAGACTTCTCACTGGTAGGTATTTTGCAAGGAGGTCTGAGAGGTATGTTGGAGCTATTTCATGAAAACACTGATAGACAAGTAACAAGATCTTAAACTCAGATCGTGATCGGATAGGCAACCAATGCAAGTAGGTGAGGAGCTTTAGATGTTCTTGTTGGGGCAGGCAGATTCGTTCAGCACCGTAGACCACATCAGTTTCGTGATTGAGCACATATATAGAGATTGTTTGCTGGCGTCTTGACCATCGTATGTTGTAGTCTGAGGCTTAGAGGCTTTCCATTGATGTTTAATTTGTCTTTTTCCCCCCTCTTTGGAGAGGTTCTTTAATTAAGTATGTGTAATTAACAAGTTCCTTGGCAGAATATAGTATACCAACCTCATAATAGCCAGAGTTACACTCAAATTTGAAATCTTTGCGTTCAATGTAGCCTTTTCTTCTTCATGGCAACGAACAATTATCTCAGCTGTATTCTTACCATGTTCAGTTGCCTATAAACAACAGAATAAGTGCAATTAATTATCACCATTATCATTCAAAGGACACAAAGTAGAAATTGTAATACTCTTAAAATGGTCGGCATTAAAAATTAAAGTTGGAAAAATGAATACCGTATTCAATTTAAAGCAATTGACTAACAATGTTTTCAGTTTTTAAAATGTGAGATGTGTGGCCTCATATGCTATCCGAATATCTATGCATGCATGAATGAATTACCCACAGAAGAATTATTGAGAAGAGTTCAAGAGATTATACCGGTAAACAACAAGCTCGATACATAATAAACACATTTAAATCAAGTGAAGAATATCCTAACTAGACATACATGTACATGTACCTGTGTAGGCAGTGGTGTTTTCTTGGCCACTAGCTCATTTATGAGGCCTTCAGCTTCTGCTTTCTCACTTTCCTTGACTGATTTTTCCTTCTGCTTCTACATTAGTATAGACAGAGCACGATAATACAAATACAAATTTGCATAACATTATTGTCAATATTTGTAAAACTGCCAGCTTGTAGAAAATCTCACTTGGGCAATTCCACAACCTAAACCCCTCAAAAAAAAGTTCTGCAATTCCGTTTGGATCTTTAATAGCGAGCTTTAGATTTAGGCATCGTGACTGGACGTAGCGGCATCAATTCACCTTGGGAGTGTTTTGTGACTGTCCTGACACACTTCCATTACATGTAATGCTTCCTATGCAGTCACCTGCGTCACTTGCAGTGATTCTTGCCTTACGATGGTTTGCTCATAGTGATGATGCTGCTTGTGTCAAAGTGTCTTTGGCTAACATTTCTTGCTGGTGTCTGTTTGCCTGTTTCAACTCTATAATTCCCTCTGTTGTAACAGTCTCATTTGACTCTGATAGGGTATTACATGCCTCATTAACTGTTGGCACTGGTATATTCGTTTCTACAGTCCGATTGTTCCAAATGCCTCCAGTTCACGAATGATAGAGTCTCCGTAAAAATGCACGTGCCGTTCTGATGAAGAACCCCTGATTACAACTTCTTCCCCTTCCTAATCTGATTTCTTAAATTTCTTGTCTCATTATCGATGGTCACTACTGCCCTTGCCCAGGCAGTCTCCTGGTCCTCTGCCCTCGTCCCCATAACGTGAAGGAAGAGCGACCTGACCTTAGCCACCCTTACTGGATCTAAAGGCGGGTGGCCGTGTGTACCCTTCATTTTACACGGGAGCCTCTCCTCCCGTGTAAAGTATATCCCGACCACCTTACGGGCCAGGGCGTTTGCGGTTGGGGTGACAATGAGGTCCAGGTAAACAGGCGCCGGGACCTCTCCAATGTCAATCTCCTCTGCTGTTTGGAAGGTTGGAGCAGTGGCAAGAAGGCCCTCTAACGTATTGAAGTTCAGAGGGGCATGTGCGGGGGTAAGACCGGGTGCTGGGTTAGGGGCGTCAACAGGGGTTGGATCGACGGGCGCAGCGGTAATGTTGGGGATGGGTACAGGACCAGGAGCACTGTTTGTCTTTTGCAACGACTGCCCTTGCCCAGACATGTCCTCTGCCTTCGTCCCCATGACGTGCAGGAAGAGCGACTTCACCTTTGCTACCCTTAACAGGTCCAAAGGGTGATGCCTGTGCGCCCCTTTCATGTTACACAGGAGCCTCTCCTCCCGAGTAAAGTAGATCCCCGCAATCTTTCTTGCCAGGGCATTTGCTGTCAACGTCATTATGAGGTCAAGATAAATGGCAATGTCAATCGCCTCAGAGGTGCGGGCAAACTTCAAACCTTTTTTTATCAGTACACGTCTGCCTTTTCCGTTTCTTAAAGCAAGTTATTTTTTCTTCAATTTTTCTCATTGATACTGGTCCTAATATATATTGATTTTAGACTTTTTACATGTACTGTTTTCCGTTGATGATGTTATGTGCTCTTGCTCTTTATTTGAGCAATAGAGCGTCCCTCCAATTCCAAGCTTTCTAGTACCCTTCCTGGTGGCAATATCTTGTTGGTAATGTACTCCTTCAGCCTTCCGCTGAATGTTGCTTCTCTTCCTCGGTCCACCTTTTCCTCATTATAGACTTGAAATGGTAATGTACTCCTTCAGCCTTCCGTTGAATGTTGCTTTTAATTCCTCAGTCCACCTTTTCCTCATTATAGACTTGAAATGGTAATGTACTCCTTCAGCCTTCCGTTGAATATTGCTTTCTCTTCCTCAGTCCACCTTTTCCTCATGATAGACTTGGTGCAAACCATGAAGCTGCATAAGTGTTGTTTTTTCAACTTTATCACCTCAATAATGCCCTTCGCCAGCCCAGAGATATAGCAGATGGGATTTCTCTGCAGCATCCCAATTTGCCTTTCTCTTTACATTTTTACTCTCCATTCTCCTGTCTTCTCTTTCGAAACTCTTGCCACTTCGTCTCTCCGTTGATTTTAATCATCTTCTGCACAACTTTCTTCGAAATCCCCACACTTTTCAACAACTTCATGTTCCTCTTCTTTGATATCAATGTATGGGTAATGATACGACGCCGTTCCATGTCATTCTTGCTTCTGGAGATGGTTCCTTTTGCCCCTCTTGGATTGCAAGATGCCGTAGTCCTGTACGTGGTGTCCAGGTCTGTATGGGCCTCTCCCAGGTCTGAAATCTTGAATAGCCACTCATTTTCATCCTCCACACGTTCAGTCACAATTGTCATTGTCAGAAGGAGGGGAGGGGCTTCGCTTGGGGCACACAAATCACTGACTTGGGAATCCTCAATTTCTTGAACTTTGTTGTTCTAGGCTACTACTACTGACCAACTCCTCCTCCTCCTCGGTCTCCTTGTCCGCAGTCCAGTGCAGATGCCAGTCGTCGTCTGGCTGCCCCCACTCTACTTCCTCGTCTCCCTCCCTCCTCACAACCTCGATCTCCTCGAACTCCTCAAAATTCACCTCCTCCTCCTCCTCCTCATCCTCAGTCACCTCGTTCGCAGTCCAGTGCAGATGCCAGTCGTCGTCTGGCTGCCCCCACTCTACTTCCTCGTCTCCCTCCCTTCTCACAACCTCGATCACCTCGAACTCCTCAAAATTCACCTCCTCCTCCTCCTCCACATACTCCTGCTGCTCCTCCTCATCTTCTCCTTGTGCCTCCTCTATGGCCTCAACCTTGGCCTCCAGCACCTCCTCTACGGCCTCAGCCTCCAGCACCTCCTCTACGTCCTCAGCCCCCAGCGTTATTTTTTCTTCAATTTTTCTCATTGATACTGGTCCTAATATATATTGATTTTACATGTACTGTTTTCCGTTGATGATGTTATGTGCTCTTGCTCTTATTTGAGCAATAGAGCGTCCCTCCAATTCCAAGCTTTCTAGTACCTTTCCTGGTGGCAATATCTTGTTGGTAATGTACTCCTTCAGCCTTCCGTTGAATGTTGCTTTCTCTTCCTCGGTCCACCTTTTCCTCATGATAGACTTGGTGCAAACCATGAAGCTGCATAAGTGTTGTTTTTCAACTTTATCACCTCAATAATGCCCTTCGCCAGCCAAGAGATATAGCAGATGGGATTTCTCTGCAGCATCCCAATTAGCCTTTCTCTTTACATTTTTACTCTCCATTTTACCAGCAAGTTCTCCACATTAGCGAGTAATGATGATAAAGGTCCTTGACTACCTTCTTATCATCACCTGATACCGCATCCTGTCTTCTCTTTCGAAACTCTTGCCACTTCGTCTCTCCGTTGATTTTAATCATCTTCTGCACAACTTTCTTTGAAATCCCCACACTTTTCAACAACTTCATGTTCCTCTTCTTTGATATCAATGTATGGGTAATGATACGACGCCGTACCATGTCATTCTTGCTTCTGGAGATGGTTCCTTTTGCCCCTCTTGGATTGCAAGATGTCGTAGTCCTGTACGTGGTGTCCAGGGCTGTATGGGCCTCTCCCAGGTCTGAAATCTTGAATAGCCACTCATTTTCATCCTCCACACGTTCAGTCACAATTGTCATTGTCAGAAGGAGGGGAAGGGCTTCACTTGGGGCACACAAATCACTGACTTGGGAATCCTCAATTTCGTGAACTTTGTTGTTCTGGGCTACTACTACTGACCAACTCCTCCTCCTCCTCGGTCTCCTCGTCCGCAGTCCAGTGCAGATGCCAGTCGTCGTCTGGCTGCCCCCACTCTACTTCCTTGTCTCCCTCCCTCCTCGCAACTTATGAGCATTACTACCAAACTTCAAATGGTACCAGCACAAATCCGATGCGGACGGGGTTCCCCCTACATTGGGGTCGCTATTGCTGAAGCTATGACTGCTGGATTTTCCTTTACGCCTATCGACAGATGGCCGTCGATAACCCGGGGCAGGACTACGACTACGCTCACGATCACGCATATTGCCCTGCAGTATACGCACCTGCATAGACAAACGCTTTATCTCATCCTGCAAGGAAGAAATTGCTGTCTCGATAGGACTAGGACATGAAGTAACGCTAGCAGTTGTAGGGGGTGACGGGACATGAACGCTATGTACAGAACATGTAAACAAAGGCACATCCATAATACGATCGGCTAAATCGGCTAATTGCTCGTTTGACAGAGCAGTACTAGCAGTCGATAGGATTAGTTGAACGTTTGTTGGTAAGCGCTGGACAAACAATTGCTTTAGGATACCTGTCTCAAGCTTAATATGCTCGCCTAACAATTGATTCATCTTTCTCAAAAGCTGCGAAGGCTTACGGTCGCCTAACTCCTCTTCAGTAAGAAGGAGTTGCAAACGTCGCTGCTCTGATTCTGACATTCGACGAATCAGTTGCTCTTTAAGAGCTTTGTAAGCATCAACCTGAGGTGGGTTAAGCAATACATCGCGCACCTCTTGTGCAACCTCTGGTTGTAACGCTGAAACGACGTGAGCAAACCTGCTCTGTTGTGAGTTAATGCGCCTGGTTTCAAATTGCGCTTCAATTTGTGCAAACCAAATTTGTGGGTCATTAGACCAGAATTGTGGCAGCTTCAAGTTCACCACGGGTCCCATTATGGGCGGCCCGTTGTCAAGCGCAGGATCCACAACCGGATCAGGCTTATTATTGTTATTATTGCTATTAGCCATCGCGCAAAGCTAAATTACAAAGTAGAAGTCTGGAGAAAATGATGTCCAAAAATTAGACAAGACAAAATTCTCAGTCAGTTCACCAATTCTTGGATAATGCAATCAAAACATCACACACACTATAACTATAAGTTAGGTCTACCGTCTAGTAGATAATAACATTAACAATAAAAATAGGCAATATCGAGCCTAAATCATGACATGCAAAAAGCACGACGAGCAATCGGCCTGACGGGCACTCTAACGTTAGTCTTAGATTTAACTTACACTACCGAAATCAGAGATTGTAATAGTATAGATTACGTTGGGATAGAATCGCCAATAAAAATATTCCAAGATAATCTATAGACTCAAAAGTCTAATCAGAATCTCTGATTTAATACCTAACAGTTAGATTTAGAGGGTCTAGATCTAAATCCAGCTCACAATATTATTGTTCGAACTTAACATTAAGTAAACTCAATCTAAATCATGAAATTGATATGATCAAACCGAGAAATATTTGTTCTTTCACAGGGGTCACCAGTTTGGTAATAAAAGGACTTAAAGATAATTTAGATGAAATTGATTTACAAGAAAATAACTCCTGAATAAGAGACACTTTGATCAAGCAAAATCTTTAAGTTCCAACACCGATTTGTTTTTTTATTTGATAAATAGATTCACTTTCCAAATATTGTAATGTTCATATCAAAATCACGAAATTAGAAATGAGATAATCCAGGCATGCAACTGGTTACAATCTATTAATTAATATTAATAAATAGATTATAATAAATAATCTGAAATAGATTTTCTTAATTCTAGATCTAGGTCTATTTATAAAGCGAAAGACCGCCGCTATTTTACCTTACTGCCAAGTCAAATACAAGGGGGGAAATATAGATCCATTAAAAAGAAACTTCCTGATTTATAGATACAAACTCTTTTCAACGCATTGGCGAAAAAACCAACGAAGAGATGAAATAAAGATGATGAAGATCTAGAATGACGTTGATCAGTGCTGAATAGGTAGACGAGCCAAACTCACGAATCCAGCGTAGACTGTAGCTTGTAGAATGATCAAAATTCGGAAGAACTAGATCTACTCTTGAATATGTAGACTGACGTTGGTGATCGTTGAATAAGAGTTTGAAGCTAGTCGTTAATTTAGTTGATTAAGTGAAGAACCGCGACAGTTTGAACTAGACTAAGCAATTGATGGTATTGCCTAGATGAATGATTGAACTTGATGAGAAATCAAAATTTCAGCCTGCAATAAATTGATTGTGGAACAATAAATCCGAGTCGAGTTTCGAGATGATGCTTAAATGATGAAAGTAACTCTGGACTCAGTTCACAAGACTCTCAGTCTAAAATGTTGATCATGCTGAAAACGTTGTCGGAGTTGAAGATTGATGACTGTCTTTAATCGACTGTTCTAAGTCGGGAATAATTTTGACTCGAGAGTTGCAGTTCATGAGCTGTACTGATTCACTGAATTGAAGTTGAAGTCCAAAAGTTTGTTGAAGATTGATTACTAAAAAATATGGTCGCCAAAAAGTAATCAATGAAAGGTTGACGTATTGTTGAAGTGAAAATTGCTCAGGAAAATAAAATTTCCAAATAAACGTAATAAAACGTAGCATGTTAGCACGTAAATAAGTGAAATTAAGTAAAGGACAACTGAGCTCAAAATCAGACAAAAAATTGAACCTTTCAAGTCGAAGGTTTAAAGGCGACTGACTAGCCAAAGCCAAAAAATTAACTTTAGCCCCAAGGGATTGGCCAATATAAAGAGCCAATCAAAGAAGAGAAAAAACTGACCAATGGCAGCAAACTTTTACAATTACCAATAAAACCAAGAATGACAAAACACACACTATTTGTGCTACTGGAGTCAACTAGAATACTATCTTAATAAAACTTCCAGATTTAAAATTATTATTGAATTCTCGCTACCCCAAATAGCGATTCTGCCGAGATCCGGGGAAAATCCTGAAAACGCGCATTGCATTATGGGATAGCTTTTCGACATTACAGCTTCCTGTGCAGGCGCTATATTACTAGGCGCGATAGCGCAAACGTAAAACGCCGTCGCCACACAACGTGTATGCACCGAATATGTCGTCTGCTCGGTCTTGTTTTTTTTGTGCAAATATTTCAACGTTTATTTGAACATTTCATTCGTTGTTTTTTGCGTCTTTTGACATCAGTGACGATGGTTTTCTTTTGTGAGGCTGCACAGTGCTGGGCTCATGATTCCAAGCGTAAGAACCCTGAAAAATGGGGGTGGATGAAGGCCGTGACTTGGGTGAAATTTCCCAGTTCGTGATCACAACCCTCTCTTTCACGGTAGAGTTTAACGGCCTTTTGTGCTAAAGTCACTAATTCTGCCCGAAGCTTTCCATTGCATGGTATTCCTCTGTCCGTTAAGATTTTTTTAAGTTCCGAAACTGTTTTTTTATCCATTTTGTGGTCGACGAGAAATACATGAACTGAGTGTTGTCTCTACACTGTTTACTGTATCGTCTGCTCGTGATTGTGACGCTGGTCGCTACATGCACAATTTTAAGACAATTATTTTTTTTTTACTTTTAGATTAACAGAAAAAAAACATGAATAAAAATAAAATCTTTCCTGTAAACTTTTTTTTGCTTTTTATTGTATATTCAAATTGAATAAAAACAAACTAAATTTAATGCATATATTATAATCTGTACAAATTACACTGATTGGCATCGATTTTAGCGTGCGTGAAAACTCTGCACAGCGAACACAGGCGCTAGCGCCAGCGGGATGGGACTCTATACCGGAAGTTGTAGTGACGACCCGAGAGAGTGAAAATTACCTCGTCTCGCGAATTTCGAGATTTTCGTACCTATTTAGGGTAGCGAGAATTGAAGAATATAGAGCAATATAAAAATGTAATTATCACCCAAGCAATCATTTTGAATATTATTAAACTTTAAGTGACACAAAATGGCAAAAATACATTACTAAATAGGCAAAACACACCTATCAAATGGGATCGGCACACATAACACAATAAATTTACAACAGCAACGCGCAAGCATACTGAAGAATTTGCATACCATTGTGACGTCAACAGTACAATAGCGCGTCTAAAAATAAATAAAGAATGCGGACGCATGCCAATGAAAAGGTGACA